TTATCAAAGTTGAAATGTACGTTAGTTTCAACTTAGATTAATCTTCTAAAAATACAAGTTTATTGCATTAATATTGTAAAACTTTCTGGCTTATTGAAATATTTTAGAAAGAAGAATAGACATTGGATTTGTGCATTTACAAAATTAAGTAATTCGTTTTACACTTTAGTACATAAATGAATTTATATAGAAATCCAGGGGTAAATTTCATCTTTACACTGAAAATTTAATGTATGTAAACATTAAAGTTGTTTGTGTAACCAGATTTGTAATTTCTTTAGTACGATCATTTCAATGTATAATAAAAATAATCATTAAGTGTGTCGAGTGTTCATTTATTAACAGTAAAGAATTCAGATTGCGAATTAACCATCAGGAAAATAAAAACAAATAACTAAAGACCTGAGTTATTTTTCATCATACTGAATCTAAAAATACACATCACTGTGTTCTGACTAGGTGATTTACAGTTATGGACAGAATAAGATATGAAAGTCTTGAGTTTGACGAAATGTAATGTGGTTAGTGTTAAACACTAGAAAGTTCAAAACTATTGTGAAATAGGGTCAATTTCATACTGTATTCTAATGCATGTTTGAGTTGATTACAGTTGATAATACAAACACAAGAGGAATATGCGCAATATTTAAATTTTTCAACTTCATAATACAGTGATTCAATTCACATTAATAGTTAGACAATGTTCGAATCTCATCAATCTGCTACTTCAGTAGCCAGTTATTTATTCTCTTTTTATAATATATTCAAATTTCACAAATTCTGATTTTAACCACTTATTACTGACTTAAATTTCCTCATATATATATGTTGCGGAAATTATTATTCCATCTTCAAACTGAAAAGATATAACCTCTAGCCATTTAAACAACAGTATCATGATATTGTTGTTTCGCTGCAATTTATATTATTTTCATTTCAGTTCCTTAAAATGTAAATTTCAAGTCTATCTATAATACAAAGCATTTGATGAACATACGGAACTTGAAACAACTACCAACCAATATTAAAGTCACAACTTAGAGAACTACGACAACCATCATCAAAAAGGTACACGTATCTATAAATAGTTGTATACGCAAGATGCTCAATATCCGTTGGCCGGATACCATCAGAAACTGCCTACTATGGGAAAGGAAAAACCATCTTTCAGCTGAAGAGGAAATTAGAAAAAGACGTTGCATCACGAAGCTAGCGCTAACTTGTAATTCTGAAAGGAAACGGAAAAGAGGAAGGCCAAACAACACACTGAGGACACACATAAGACATACAACCATCAAACTACATCACGAGGCAAGCGCTAACGAAAAAGTGGAAGACTGAAGAACACTGCGTCAGGAATTGAAAGCGGATATTTACTTACAATAAATTATTCTCGTTAACCAAAAATTTATTATTCTACTATTACTACTAGTAGTAGTACTAGTAACAACATGAATATTGAAAAAAATTATATATTCATAAGCTTGAACTCATTTTAATAATCAAATATCAAAGGGGACAAAAATGATACTCAATTCAGATGTTTCTATAATTACATTAAGTTCATAATATTTGATTTAATTACTGAAAAAATTATTATTATTATTATTTGCATAATTAATTTAATAAAATAATTCTACTCAAAGAATAAAAGGAGATTTGAAAACAAGAAAAGAAATAATAATTTAGTGTGCCATTACTCTCAAAACAATATACTTTGTTTTATTTTATATGACAACTAGAATAAACAATCTAAAGTGTAACTTGGTAAACATCATATTGAATTATTCAATCTAAAATAATTTACTAACATAGAAACTAGTTTTAATATTTTAACTTATGTATTCTCAATATTATAGAGGTTTGTAAACATTTATTCAATATAATTAATAACATGAAGTGAACTTATTTAAATATTCATTGTAAACCTTGTAGAAGTTAGATCGTTGTTCTCTGATTGACAATTAATAGAGAGTATATATATGGTTTTTTGACAAGATAGTTAACATATCAAGATGACGAAGTTTCATATTGAATGAAATAGTAAAATCAACTTAAAACAAAATGAATTTAGGTGTTAACATTATCGAATTTGAATGTTTGTTATGAAATAAGTAAACCATATCTATTTACAAATATAGATATAGCACGTTTTCATTCTTATCGATAAAACTAGTTAAATTGTTTTTCAGCATTAGAAAATTTTATTAAATACTTACTTTATTTTTCGAAAGCATGAACATTCATTCAGCTGCATAGTATCAACTAATATCAATATCAATGAAAGTGTAAAATCTTGGTAAAGTCCTTCGAAACCTTGTTATTTCAGAAGAATATCTGAGAGGTGTTCATTCATACGTTCTATGAAATCCTTATAGAAAGTGTTTTTACATTTGGTGGAATAAAAGGTGGACAGACGTTAGGGTAGAATAAATTACTTTTTACTGTAATCAAAAAATTTAAGCACAGTGAATTATTGAATTCTATCACTTATGAGATATACAAAGATTTATTGAAATAAAAAGCTGTTTCTGATAATTTCATTACTATTGCTTTATTCATTTTGCATTGGTTGTTTGAATCTTCCCATTGGTATGTGGGACTTTAATGGATCAGTCTATTTTTAGTATATGTACATTCAATGCGGATTGCCTCCATATTACTTTAAACATTATGAACAGAGATGTCTAGTGGCTAGCAGTGGAATTTAGAACCCATGTCTTCACTCATTTGGGACTCGTAATCAGGATGTAATTGCATCTGAGTTAATGTTCACTCTATGACTAGAACCCAATACCTTTCGCTTCAAACATCATCGAAGCCAGATAGCCACTAGCTTGTGCACTGAGATAAAGTCCAACTCATTTTGTATTACTGATCATGATTGTATGAACTTTGATAGTGTTTTTCATATAAACTTTCAAACTATGGTAAAAAAAAACAAATTTCTATCTTATATGCCATATTTCTACAGTATATTGATTTGTGGCGGTTTCACTGTTTTGCAATAGCGGATGAGCACTAGTACAATATGTATAATATCATTAGCGAAAATTTATTTCAGTATATTAAACTTTGAAAAAATCACAATTGTTTAAATGTAAATCACAGATATGCACTGGTTGTAAACAATATATCACATGAAAAGGTTATATTTGTCTTGTTAAATCCTAGTGAAGATTACATTACGAGTAACGTCTAAGACCTGTTAATGGACTAATATTATTTATATATTCATATGGTATTAATACTCAGTAACTAGATTATGTATATCTATATTTGCCTTATTATAAGCTTTATTTTGATCTATAATTTATTATTGTACGATTTACTGTTCTTAAGCTATGTTCAGTTTATTGACTAGTGCCTCCCACGTTCACAGCCACTTTTTGGCTTCTTTGTGTACAAATGTTATTTTCTATTTTATGGTGCGTTGCGGTCTATATTTTATATATGTAAACCCAGTATGTTTGAAATAAATGATTCGATTCGATTCGCATAGTGGAAGCTGGTATTTGGTGTTCTGGACTCAAGTGGACGGGCTAGGCGAACATAGGACCAATAAGGACTCTAGGCTGCTCATACCGGTCGAACGTCATTGGTTTGGCACCGTGCTATGATTGAATAAGTCGTTTTTCGATTGGTGGATAAATCACGTAATGAATAACTGAACATAAAGACATGACAGGTCTAATATAAGCAAACTACGTACACAGTACAAATGTGACGAAATGAATTATATAATACAGAATCCCACTTATTGAAGTTTAAGCATTATCAGGTAAACAAATGAACGTGACTGTTCACTAGTAGAGATGTGAATTTGTATTTCTTCTTAATCCACTTTACTTCATCATCTACTACTTCGTAGGAAATCTTAAATTGTCTCATTTCATCGGTAAACTATAAGGTCAAATACTTAACTACAAATGAACAATATTTATAGCCATCTTCGTGATTTACTAAAAGCCTTTACCATATAATTAACACCTCTGGACCAATAATTTTATGTTATCACTAAAAAGTAAACTTTTGCTGATTCTTTCCAATGGATGAATTCTAAAGGCTAAAATAACACTAACTGATCAATTGGCGACATATTAGTTACTATCTTATGAGTATCTTAACTTTCCTAAAGCCATTTTTATTTCCGGTCAGTTTTTCTCTGATAGAAAATAAATTTTTGAACTTAAAGTTGTGACTTATTGTCGTAAGCTCAACAAGCTACCCTGCTACACAAATAACAAGTCAGAAGAATGTTTAAAGATTTCTCTAGGTCCGTTATTTCAGTAACCAGTGTACTTCAACTAAGTGTGAGGAAGCTGTCCACCTCAAGCATTGAAATACGGTTGTGTACTTTTACAAATTAATTAAATTTAAATATGCACATCAACAGATGCAGGTTTAATAGTCTGAAAATGATGGGTTAACACACAAGGATATGAGTTCTCGGCTCGATTTCTGCTAGGATCATGAGCACGCACCGCTAACGAGTCCCATACTAAAGCGAAATAGTTGTTTAATATTTATCGGTCATCAGTAGTGATCTAGCTAATATCGATTCATGATTCAAGCTATGAAAAAATCAACAACCAAACCTTTTACTACTTGAAAAGAAAATATGTATGAAACAGATTTTATCTGATTACCGATTTATGATCACAATTTATAATTGAAATATTGGATTTCATTTGGACAGCTGTTGATGAATATATTTGTTATTTGACTGATAAATAATTTGACCGTACAAATTATCCACCCATCATCTAGAAGTAAACTAATTTTTGCATATTCTAATGAAACTCCAAAATAAAAAAATCGTATTTTGTGAGGTCATTGAAAATAATAAAAAAACCCAGAAAAAAATCTGTTTATCAATATTAATTTCGAGAAAATTGTTATTACACGTTTCATTTAAATTAAAAGAAAATTCGGTTAACTGTAGAAGATGAGAAAAAAAAGTGTAATGTTGTAGTATTCTTTGTTAAATGTTTACTTACAATCCATTAAATAAAGTATGTTTCAGTTACTTGAAGTTATACAATAACATCGTTGGATGCCGGCTCAACGGTCTAGTGGTTAAGTGCTCGCGCGTGAAACCAGCAGGTCGTGGGTTCGAATGCCACGAGGTCGTGGATGCGGTCGTGGATGCGCACTGCTGAGGAGCCCCATAATAGGACGAAACGGCCGTCCAGTGCTTTGAGGTTTCCCATGGTTGTCTAGCTTCAATTGGCTTATGATCTCGATAACTGAATTTTCTAAAGTCTCCACAAAACCCCTTCTGATACAAATAAAGTATGTAATAATAAATTTGTCACTCTATTTTGTATTATATATTTAAAACTGTTCAATAATTTAAACTTTGCATAAGTTATATGGGTTTTTTAGGGACTTAGTTTTATACGGGATGGGGTCACTAACACCATAGCTAAACCGCCCCCTTAATACGGATTTGAAACCGGTAGTAGCACCAGAGGGATTCAAGGCGGACGATCTATACTTCGCAGACTACCTGGCTTTTCTAGCGCACACGTAACAACAAATGAAGGAGAAAACGACTAGTGTAGCAGCGGCCTCAGCAGCAGTAGGTCTCCATATACACAAAGGGAAAAGCAAGATTTTCCGATACAACACAACATGCACCAATCCAGTCACAATTGACCGAGAAGATTTGGAGGATGTTAAAACCTCTACATATCTGGGCAGCATCATGGATTAACACGGTGGATCTGATGCAGATGTGAAGGCGCGGATCGGCAAAACAAGATCAGCATATTCACAACTGAGGAACATCTGGAACTCAAAACAACTGTCAACCAACGCCAAGGTCAGGATTTTCAATACAAATGTCAAGACAATTCCACTGTGTGGGGCAGAAACCTGGAGAACTACGAAAGCCATCATCCAGAAGATACAGGTGTTTATTAACAGTTGTCTACGCAAAATACTTCGGATCCGTTGGCCAAACACTATTAGCAACAACCTACCGTGGGAGGGAACAAACCAGATCCCAGCGGAGGAAGAAATCAGGAAGAAGCACTGGAAGTGGATAGGACATATATTGAGGAAAGCACCCAACTGCGTCACAACGCAAGCCCTCACATGGAATCCTGAAGGCCAAAGGAAAAGAGGAAGACCAAAGAACACATTACTCCGGAAAATGGAAATAGACATGAGAAAAATGAACAAGAATTGGATGGAACTAGAAAGGAAGGAACAGAACAGGGTGGGTTGGAAAATGCTGGTCGGTAACCTATACCTCACTGGTTATAATCAGTCAATGTTTATTTGTTGATAATTTTTTGGCACAAATTTCATTCACGGTAATTGAATCATAATAGATAAGTTAAATTTATAGTAAATCAAAAAGTCTATCGACTGGAAATATGAATGCATATTATATCAAACCATAATAAACTGAACAAATCTGGTTTTATCAGATTTGTATTGATTGCACATGATTCATTTTCAACTGTTTACACTACGGGACAACACGAACATGATAGATTTACAGCACATATTATAGGGGGAAAAATCGATAATAAAATGTAAAATGAACTATACAATGCCCTGATTGAAACAGAAAGAATAAGTTTCAATAGCATTTTAAGGTAAATACATTTTCAATAAGTTACAGGAATAGTTTTACAAAATTTTGACAAAATCCAGCCGTTCTGAAATTCAAATTAAACATTATTGCACAAATTTAACATAAGCGATAATGTTCACCGAGATATATTTAAGTTAAAATGTGTATTAAAGTGCTGTGAAAATGAACTGACATTTCCCAAAACTAGGCTTCAATCATGATACTATTTTGAGGATAATCATAAAAGTACTAGTAATGAATTGTCTGAGATTAATCAAACTGTGAAGGTCATCTCTCTCTGCCAAATAGCTTCTTTTATCGCTCATTATGTTGTTATCTACAATGTATTCACAAGTATGTGTTAAAGCCACTGTATCAAAACGTAATAATAAAGAATCTTAATGCTCACAGGTTTGCGTAGCACAAGGCAAAACATACACAACTTAAATGTTTAAATTGTCAGTTTTTATTACGCAGTTCTCCTAGTGAGAAATCAATGAACGAATAGCGTTCGTGATAATCAAAATGAGAAAATGTTTGATGTATATGAGTTTACGAACACAACACAGTTTGAAAGAAGAAGAGAAGCACATGAAATTTCCGTAAATTTTCATCATTTATAAATGAGAATTCATAAGTGGTAAAGTTCAGAAATATTGGCAGTAAAATTGGTAGAAACGGATGATCGTCAACTGAATTTGCGATTGCATTATTGGACGCCAGACTAATGGATTTAATAGTTTGGCATTCGTCCAGAAACATGAAGGTTTCAAGTCTTATTTCTAGCAAAGTCGGGGTCCCATATTAAAATGAAACAACTGTCTAGTTTTTCCTGATTTTTACTAGTAGTCTAAATGAGATAAATCTGTGACGAATACTACATACAATTCATTTTATTGGCTAAACTAATAACGATCATTATTCTAGTCCTGGTTATTTTATGATTCTTCAAACTGTATTGGCGTTGTCTAATGGTCAATGTATTAAAATTTGAATCATTACAACGATATTGCATAATCACATTGTATATCCACAGAACTATATAATTGATAAGGCACACTATTGATTTACGTCCACTCATTTGATATAGAAGTGAGAGAATGAAATTCACACATATAAAAAAGGCATACAAAACAATTAATATATACGTGTATGTATATATACTTCGTTAACCAGACCAAACAAATATTCTACCACTTTAGGGCCTATTACGTAATACAAATAAGATTAATTACACGTATGAGAAATAGTTATAGTAATTCAATATTATTTTCATAGTAAATCAATAAACTGGGACAAATAAACAACTGATGAATCTACTATTCAATGATTATTAATATAAACAATAAGCAAATCAACACAAGAATTCAATAATGAAAATATCATATCCATTATATTCTGAATAAATTTTCACTAAGTGAAATTGTTATCCTTTATTGTTACTGATTTTGTTTGTAAACAATCTAAATTGTTGTTATAATACCCACTATGTATTAAGTCAATATTTACATCTACTGTCAAGGCCAATTCGACCATGCTAATTGATTTTTTTTTATTTCTTCATTTAAAATATCAGATATTTTCTCCTATGACCTTGGAAAACATACAAATGATTAAATGTTCAATCGAGCCAATAAACGAAGAATTAATATTAAATTAGTTGATGACCTTAGTAAAAATCATTAAAAGAAGAGTTAGAATATTAAAAGAAATATGATTCACACGTTAGATATATGAGTCATCAAGAAGAACTAAAAGTTTCATCAATAATGTGGTTAATGTTTATTGAGGGTTAATAGGATTAATTACTGAAGTGAAAACATACTGTTAAGGCTAAGGAAATTTTAAATGTTTGGACAGAGTAATAAAATGTTGCCAAGACCTAGCTTTAACAACTTTAGTTTGTACATACCAGGAAAATCGCTTACATCAAGTCATGTTAAACTTAATGTAAAAAGGAATTATTAATTCTGGTGTATAAGTAGCTAATAATTTGGGTTATTGATTTCAACAATATTAAGATTGAATGCTTCACTTCAATTATTTCAACATTTTCAACTGGAAACCATAATGTATATTAGATTATTAATTTCAGGAATTTGGCAGCGACAATAACGGTTAAAAAAATTGGTTAGGACCATTTTCCCCAACAATTTATTTCCATTGCCAACCGTCGAAAGTGAAACAAGGAAAAACCAGTCAATTATACTTTAGATAGTGGGCAACATCAAAACGCAAGTAAACCAATTCATCCTACCTAGGATAGATAACTTAGATGTTCCCAGATCCTAGTGTATGTATGTTAGCAATAAGACTATAGCCCTTTTAAGATCACTCCAAATGGTGGGGCACAATAAACTAGTCCACTGAGTTCCAGTAGTCACTACTTGTTCAATAAATTCATGTATAAAACCATCATAACTATTACTTAATAGTAATAACCTGGAAAACGAAAATCTAATTAAATTCAGGTGTAGTAGGATTGGCTATTTCAGGAGATGAGTACGTCCTAATTCTTGTGTTGCTTAATATTTGTTTACTCAATTGTTCACAAATGTGTTTATACACGTTTTTGTCCCCGAGGGTAAATACGATTTGCAATACAAATAAGACAAGATGCACCGTTTTTCTTTCTTCTTCACTAGTAGAGATGATAAATAGTAGCATTTCATGCATGGTGGTGTGTACATCAACCAACCACATCAGATTAATAAATATAACAAGAGAAAAATATCCATACAGATGATTTTTGACATGATACTAGTGTGAACAAACCACCACTGATCAGTAGGATTTTTTGACATGTAACCTTGACCTAAATCATAAGAATTTACCTTTCATTTCCGAACTAAACATCGAAAGTAGAATTTTAAAACTCCACCGCTCGAATAAAGGGGGAAAATGTGACAGCTTCTGAGATTGACAGTAACTTAAAAAATCCAACAAGAATGATGGCAATATCTTAGGAAGGTTCAACTAACTGATGATTATTTATTGGGAACTCAAAGCCACATACTTATATATATATATATATATATATATATATAATGTCTCCAGTTTTAACTTTATAGTTCCTAGTAATACAACAGTATACAAAAATCATGAACATTGATGGTAAACGTTTAAAATCTAAGCTACTCATAAGATTTTCTGTGTTACATGGACAGTATAGATGAAAGTTTGTACTATGAATTTAAGATTGTAATTAGTCTTTACACGTATTAAAATTTGAAGAAATCATTTACTTTCAACCTAAAATAAATACGATGCGTTCATCGCGTACAAGATAAATGTTTTCAGTTTGATCCCATGGGGGTTCATAGATAAGCATTACTGAGTAGTCATACATTTGAATAAAATGGCCAGCTAGTGTTGACTGATTTCCAGTGGATCTCAACGTCTAATCAGCCAGAATATGAAACTAGAAGAAATCCTTATCTTAGTAATACACAGCTAACAATCATATTATTGTCAAACTATTCGTTCTAATATTGACGAATATTTGTATATATCATATAATTGATTAGAATCATACTTACCTCTTTCATCTTTTGCATTATTAATACCCCAATGTAGTAAGGAATTATATGAAGTTCTAGGACTTGGTGAATTAGATATAGATTCCATACTCGAAATACTACCTTGTTCACATGGTTTCCAATCAGTATCATCAGAAGTAAGTATTATAGATGGTGTGAGATTATCATTATCTGTTTGAGTGTAAATTAAATCCATTTCACTCGATTCAATCATTTCTGATTCATTTTTGTTGTGGCCATGATTTTCTTGATCATTAGTTTTATTGTCATTACCACTGTCACCATGTTGTTGATGAAAATTTTGACAAGTTTCACCAAAAAAGTAAGGTGTTGAAGGCATTGTCGTTCGTTTAGATGCTAAACTCACATCATATAAGTTTGGATCTGTTGACATGTTCTAATATCATCATCATGTCATATTTTTATTGATCAGTAATATGTAATATTTATATGAACACCATGTAATTTGATTAATGTAACTAGTAACTTTTAAAAGCACCTATCAGAATTGTTCTACACTTTTCTAATCAAAATCGCTCGGTTTCATAGACGTTTTGAAAACGTTACAGTCAAATACGTATATAACTAAAGTAGTTTCACAAATATAACGCTATTCCATTTGATGAAGTGTAGATTATGTTCTCTAATTATTATTATAACATTATTACCAAATAACAGGACAATACAAGTCAGGAAAAAAAACGTGAAGACAACAACATTTACCTTTGATCAAGCTTTTATATACACAAAGAAGATTTTACCCAACATTATTAGCCAATCAGTAAGAAGACAAGTGAAAATTTTCATTTATTTATTAAACCTTGAAAAATACTATCTACCTGTAACTATATTTGCTATACAATATGCTTAATTCTGATTCGATTAACTACAGAAATAGACATACTTATGTCAATACATTCATGTTAACAACATATATGTGTGTAAATTTTTACACTGTAACTATTCCCTCGAATAAATGCAGTTATTGTGGGATTAATAAATAATAATAATAATAATAAAAAAATTAACTAATCAAAATTTGAATGTGGATTAACATGTTCATGATCTGCATGCATATGAAGGGTATATTAGACAATTTATTGCCCTGATAAATTTTGTTTCAGAGAAATTCAGCGCTTTATCAAATATGAAACCATAATGTTGTAAAACGAAATGAGTAAGTATATAATGATAAATAATATATTTTTAATTTTTGAATTTACCTAGACAGTGAAGTGGTCAGCAAAGTAGTTTTTATTTGATATAATACAACGATATATTCACCCTGAATCATGACATATTTCACAGTTTGTATCTTGTATGCCGAAAAATTTGATGACATCAATCAATTCATAAAGTACGCCATCACAGAGATATCCGGTAATGTTTAGGTATGTGAAAGAGTAAACAGTCTTGTCATCTAGGCAATGCTTCAGTGTGCAATTCAATTAATTTGATCAATTTATCTTGAAAATTTATTTATATAAGATCTCGACAGCTGAAGAATGAGATTTGAAATATTCGGTTGTAATTCACTTGAATGTAAATTCTTATATAGTTGATTTGGGAATATGTTACTCGATAAACAAGATTTATAAAAGTTCAGTTTCACGCGTTCCGATACAGTTTTGCATTTATTGTTGACAAATCCATCTAACATTTTAATAGTATTTGCAGGGAGTTTTCTTTCAAGTAATTCTAATCAGTTAGCCCCTTTTGATATATATATATATATATATATATATATATATATATATATATATATATATACTTACGCCTGTTACTCTTAATGGAGCATAGGCCGCCGACCAGCATTCTCCAACCCACCCTGTTCTGTTCCTTCCTTTCTAGTTCCATCCAATTCTTGTTCATTTTTCTCATGTCTATTACCATTTTCCGGAGTAATGTGTTCTTTGGTCTTCCTCTTTTCCTTTGGCCTTCAGGATTCCATGTGAGGGCTTGCGTTGTGACGCAGTTGGGTGCTTTCCTCAATATATGTCCTATCCACTTCCAGTGCTTCTTCCTGATTTCTTCCTCCGCTGGGATCTGGTTTGTTCCCTCCCACGGTAGGTTGTTGCTAATAGTGTTTGGCCAACGGATCCGAAGTATTTTGCGTAGACAACTGTTAATAAACACCTGTATCTTCTGGATGATGGCTTTCGTAGTTCTCCAGGTTTCTGCCCCACACAGTAGAATTGTCTTGACATTTGTATTGAAAATCCTGACCTTGGTGTTGGTTGACAGTTGTTTTGAGTTCCAGATGTTCCTCAGTTGTAAATATGCTGCTCTTGCTTTGCCGATCCGCGCCTTCACATCTGCATCAGATCCACCATGTTCATCAATTATGCTGCCCAGATATGTGGAGGTTTTAACATCCTCCAAATCTTCTCGGTCAATTGTGACTGGATTGGTGCATGTTGTGTTGTATCGTAAAATCTTGCTTTTCCATTTGTGTATATTGAGACCTACTGCTGCTGAGGCTGCTGCTATACCGTTCGTTTTCTCCTTCATTAGTTGTTGCGTTTAGGATAGGAGGGCCAGATCATCTGCGAAGTCTAAATCGTCTAAATGCATCCTAGATGTCCACTGTATCCCGTTCTCCCCTTCAGATGTTGACTTCATCATGATCCAGTCGATCACCAGGAGAACGAGAAAGGGTGAGAGTAAGAAATTTTGCCTGACACCGGTCTTTATTTCGAACGAGTCTGTGAACTGTCCTCCATGCACCATTTTGTAGTTTAATCCATCACATGAATTCTGTATGATATTGACTATCTTCTGAGGCACTCAGTAGTGTCGAATAAGCTTCCACAGTCTTGTTCTGTCCACGCTATCAAATGCCTTTCCGTAGTCAATGAAGTTGATGTAGAGTGATGAATTCCATTCAATTGATTGTTCCACAATGATCCGTAGAGTTGCGATTTGGTCTGTACACGATCTGTCCTTACGGAATCCTGCCTGTTGCTCACGAAGTTGAGCATCTACGCAGTCCTTCATCCTGTTTAACAATACCCGGTTGAAGACTTTTCCCGGTATTGAGAGAAGAGTGATGCCCCTGTAGTTATCACAGTTGCTGATATATATATATATATATATATATATATATATATATATATATATATATATATATATATATATATATATATATATATATATATATATATATGATTCAAGAATCTACAAGTGTTTGTGAATTAGGTGCTCAAATAGTTTAATCTTAATTCATTCTTGCATTCATTACATAATTAACACTTGTCTTCAGTCAACACTTTCTTAATCATATCTAGTGAATACATCCTTATAGTTTCACAAACGAAACTTCAGTTAGACTGTTAATTTTACTCAAATAAAAAAGTAATATACTAATTTTTACCAGAAATTATTGAATTTTCTAAACTTTAAAAAAAAAATAAACAATAGTATATTTACATCTCCACATGTATTTCCGGAAATCTGATGTCCAGTTTGGAAAGAAATACTGTTTTACGTTTTAGTAGTAAATTATGTCACTGATAATAAAATAGTATGTTTGTCATGAACTAATAACATCAGGCATATGTTGTATGGTGTATGAACTGGTAGCGAATCGACATAATAATTATTTATTGTATAGATTACGTAGGTGGATTTCGATAAAACACTAATAACTATCACATGAATGCTCATTAGATGTTTGTTTATTTAGTAAAAATATGATATATATATTTTACAGGTTGAAATCATGAGTCGATTGAAGCTAGACCACCATGGAAAACCTGGAAGCACTGGACGGCCGTTTCGTCCTAGTATGGGTCTCCTCAGCAGTGCTCATCCACGATCCTGCACCACGCGGGGCTCGAACTCAGGATCTACTGGCTTCACGCGCGAGCATTTAACCACTAGACCACTGAGCCAGCATCCAACAGTGTTAATGTCTAACATCAGTCTTAAGTGAGTTGTTATCTCACAACAGACCTGGTTGAACTCCACTGGTAACGGCTTCTCACTAGAACTCCAGGAGTTTTTCTTCAAGTCAGTCACTAGTGAGCAGTTGATTATTATCAGAATGGGTTTTGTGGAGAGTTTATACAAATTTCATAGGTTGAAATCATGAGTGGAGTTCAACCAGGTCTGTTGTGAGATAACAACTCACTGAAGACAATGGTGTACGGTGGCGCAACTTCGTGGATTGGTTCAAGTTAGACATCAAGAGCGTTGGGTGCCGGCTCAGTGGTTTAATGGTTAAGTGCTCGCGCGCGATGCCAGTAGGTCCTGAGTTCGAACCCCGCGTGGTGCAGGATCGTGGATTAGCACTGCTGAGGAGACCCATACTAGGGCGAAACGGCCGTCCAGTGCTTCCAGGCTTTCCATGGTGGTCTAGCTTCAATCGACTCATGATTTCAACCTGTGAAATTTCTAAAATCTCCACAAAACCCATTCTGATATATATATATATATATATATATATATATATATATATATATATATAATATCGATGAATGGTAAAAATGGGATAATTAAATTTATCGTATTAGTTAAATATTTGGCAGTACAATAATTCAAGTACTAAAAAATTGACCTCAGACTACCAAATACTAATTATTTTGATTTTCTTAAACATAATGAATATATTAGTCAGTCCCAATTATTCCAAACCGATTTGGTATTGTTATCACAAGTAAAAAATTAACTAACATCTCACTCTATTACTAATTACTGATAAGAATAAGTAATTCTCCAAATAATTATTTATGACTTAAATATAACATTTTTAATAGTTGAATTCATCAGTCGATTTAACTTAGATCACTATTAAAAACCTGTAAGTACTAGTCGTTTGTTTCGTCCTAATATGGGATTTCTCAGCAGTGCGCATCCACGAACCCGTATGCGGGACAGAGTAAATGATCATAAAATTAATCTTTTCAAAAACTCATTCGTCAAAATGTCTGTTACCAATTTCTGATATTAGACTAAGCAAATTTTCTTTTATAGTTTCTGTGGCTTAAACATATCGATGAAATCAATTATATATAGCATGTAGAAATAAAATACCTCTAAATTACGATTTTGTTTAATAAAAGATAGATAACATTAAAAAGTAACAATAGCTGGAACAATCAAAGAACGACAGAGTGTTAAACATATATTTTTCAACTAAACTTCGAATCATTATAGTTTATAAATTGAATGGAATTATATGTAATAGTTCGTTTCTTTTTGAACACATCATTTTCTCGAATGCTATATAATAAGGATCTATCCTTTGCGTAACACTCATTTACTTTATGTAATAATAATAAAACTTGTGAGTATATCAGGCAATTGTTTGTGTGAGGATTCTTTAAACATCGCCTGACCGTCTATGAAAATTTGAAGTATATGAAATCAGAAAATCATCAAAATTTCACATATTTAGCGTACTTCTTTGTTAAGAGACTTTTATGAAGTTTGCTGTTATTAATTGTGATGACAGGAATCACTGCATACGCATCAAAACTACCTCTACTCTAGCATATATATGTAATCTCCCTATTTAGTCTTTAGAAACTAAGTATGAAAAGTTGCAGATCTAGTGTTTTTTCATCTACGGATAATGATCAAAAACAAATTATAATGAGTTTTATTTTTATAAAGACAAGAATAAAAGTTGAGAAAAAATTCTAGTTACAGTAGGATTTAAAAAATCACCTTCAGTCATAAGATAAAGCAACTAGTGATCCTATTTCAAA